CCCTGCGAGCGCCTATGTATATAACTCAGCCTTACTGTAATATTTATAATTTTAGTAACATTTCATCTGAAAACTGGCCAACACTTAGGGTATGCTATTTTAGGAAACAGAATAATACTTTAATTTCTAACGTGAATTTAACATGGACCTTAAGTTTTTASTTAATTACAGATGGGGTTAAGTAATTTCATGATATGTATGTTAATGCGAGAAAAGTAAACAAAAAACAAAAATAATTTTTTTTATATAATTAGATGATAATTTTTAAAAGAAACTAGATTTTGAACATTTATCTTAAGAAGATGTCATATATACAAGAGTGTTGTCTCTTTTTTACAGTATAATATTATGTACATCTAAAATTTGTGTTCAGCAGAATCGATAATTTGTTATTAGCTTTAATATTGAAATAAATAAATCTTTATTATACAATTATAAAGTTTAGGTTTGCTCTAATTGTATGGCATTAAACATTTTTAATTGAGTAATGATTCAAAAGTTAAAACAAAAAATTATGTTCATCAAAATAACAGTAAGAACACTTGAAATATTGAAGTTTTAACTATAATACCTTCTCATAATGAGTGTCAAGTGTGTACTTCAAATTATTTCTTCTATTAAGCAGTATGATAATAATAATCCAATTGATTATTTATTAATGGTTTATCTTAAATCAATACTTAATTAACATCTAATTAAAATCTATTTTAGTAAGCACAATAATTTTTAATTTTAGAATGCAGTAAATAAAAAAAAAACCCCAACCAGTTAATTGAACTTCAAGGGAAATAAATATTTGTGATTATATTTTAGACTTATACAACAATTTATAACGTATAGACGAAATTCATTCAATTTATACAATCTATAACACATTCTGGCATACCTTATAAATTCTTCATGAGCCATTAAAGCTGGATGTGGAAAACGTTCACGTTCCATCATCATTTGTCTTTGAAAATGTTCATGTGCGACCTGTTAAAATTTTTTTAAATAAAATCATACACTACAATATAACATACAAACACAAGTCTAAATAATTTTTCACAGTATTCTGATACCAAAAAAAGTCAAGTTATATTTAAAAAAATCAATATTAAATGGTCTTACTTGATCTGGAAATGGTCTAACTTGATCTGGAAACGGTCTTACTTGATCTGCAAATGGTCGGGCTAAGACATCACTCGGATGATGAAGTCCTAATGTAGGATCGCGGCCGGGTAAAAGGTTTGGACGAGGATAACCACCAGAAGCTAAAATGTATTTTAATTTAACTTATATTAGAAAACTTCTGTGTGCAATACACAGTAGAAACATTTAAATATTCAAAACCTAATATAAATTTTATATTGAAAAAATCAAGAATTTTAATTGCCAAACATTTTTATGTAAAATTTATATAAAAACACAGTATATTTATTATTAATTTTACTTATTAATGACTAGGTTTTCATATAAAAATACTCATTTAAATGTTTAATTAATATATGTACAAGGATCATGTTAAAATAATTTTAAGTCTTATTTTATTTTATTTCACCTGCCCTGCTGTATTATATATAAATTATATTAGAGAGTTAATTTGATAATGTTTTCATTTTACCATGTTTAATATTATTTTTGAAACAGYTAAGGTTATGAGTTATAATCAATACAATTTGATTTAACTTTAAAAAAGATATCTCGTTAGATTCAGAACAAAAATAATTTATTAAACAGTACTTTCATGATTCATAACATCTTTAAAAGATACTATTACAAATAAAATGATACTTACAACCAAGTGGGTATACTGAAGGTGAAGAAGAAGAAGCTGAGTTATCAGCAGCTGCAGCTGCCGCAGCAGCAGCAGCTGCTTGCTGTCCTGGATGTAAATGTAGATGAGTATGAGAATGTGCATGTGTATGTGCATGATATTCAGGTGAAATTCCAGCCAACTGCAATCTGACCATAGGATCTGTTGCTAATGCTAGACGATTTGCTTCTTCAGCAGATGGGCCAGGCGGACCACTACCTGAATTATTTTGATTTGAATTTCCATTTGGCCCACCAGCTATAAAAATTAATAATTAACAATTAAATTAATATTTTAATACGCTTGAGTTTAACATTAATTTTACCAAGTCTATCCATACGTTCTCTATCTAAGGGGTTCATGTTACTGGGGGTACTAGGCTGACTAGGAGCTCCAGGTGAAGTATACAAACCAAATGGATGTATACCAGGTGTTCCCCCATAACGACGTTGAAGTTCAATCCAATGAGGATCAATTCTGGGTGGACCAGATGATCCAGACTTCAAAAATTCATCCTTAAGTCTATCATTCAATTCTTTTTCACGAAGTTCTCTTAATTCTCTTTCACGTTTTTCACGTTCCATTTGTTCATATTCAAATCTAAATAAATGAATCTACTAATGAAATGAACTTGTCAATTTAATATTTAATGAACTTACCTGTCACGTGGATACATGTTAAATTGATAATGTAACATTGGATCAATGCAATGTGGTGGCAAACCTAATCCTGGTGCTGAACGTTGTAATGACACTGGTGAAAAACCAGCATGAGGTCTTGCGTATTCACTAAATTATTAATACAATGGTTACACAACCAAACAATTAATTTTTAAGAACAAATAATAACATATTTACCTTAACTGTCGTAATGCAGGAGTGTCTGGATACATTGGAGTGTTTGCTGGAGCACCTCTGTGTTGATAACTATTAACCCTATCATAAGGTGATTGAAGTGCTTCAATGCTACTTCGTGAAGGTGGTTTAGTTATTTGTTCATTAGGAGCTTGCATATGTTTGTCATTGTTTGAATTTTTCCGCTGAAAATATTTTTATTGTATTCAAGCTAAAAAAAAAATCATATAAAAATAATTACTGAATGAGATTTATCTCGTTCATCACGTTCCTTCTCAGCTTGTCGCCTAGTTCGTTCTTCACGCTTTCTACTGAGTTTGGACTCAGGAACTGGTTTAAATGTTAAATCAGTACGGCAACAAGAATTATAATCACCTCTGTTCCAATGCCTCAAAAATCTAATTTATAACATTCCATATTAATTAGTTCAAGTCGAAAGAAAAATTATTAAGYGTAAATAATTTTTTACATTGCACTTTGACTACGATGACATTCACTATCTTCAATTTTAGGTTCAGGAGATGGTCCATGAGGTACATGTAAATTTGGACTTGGTGAACTCTCTTCTTCATTATTCCCATCATCAGTACTCTGACTCATCATTTGATCYGGTTTTATCATTTCCATTCCAGGTGGCATTCCTGTTGCTAACTCCATTGCTCCCATATATCCTGTTTTCAAAAATAATAATTTGATATCTTTCAGTCAAAAAGCTAATAAATTTAAACGTTTTTAAATATAAATATTTAACAAATTACACTCAAAGAAGTCCAAATACATAAATTAAGTTTGGTTGGATTAAAAATAGGATGTCATGCATGTATTTTCTTCATTCTACAGACGGATTTGTATTCAGTAGAATCAAATTTAAGTTATTAAAGAAAAATGACCTATAATCACTTTTTTTTTTATAATTTGCCTTTTATTAAAAAATGATTATAGCAATGCAATTATAAAAGTCAAACTTTAAAGTAAGAATTTTATCTGTGTTTATATGTACTAATGTACTACATTGTTTCATTTATAAAATTTTTATTTAAAACTTAGTTATTAATACATAAAATATTAAAATTTACTCATATTTTGAATAAAAATTTCAATATTGTTAAAACCAACAGACAAATGCAAGCAAGCAAGGCTCACCTTTAAATGTAGTATGGAACAATTCACTCTTAAAATAAATGCAAATTATAAAAAAATTTCCTATGCTATACATTTGTATAACAGTAACAATGTGTAAACCATCCACTTAATTAAATATAATGTTTTCTTATTTTTATAATCTTGTGTTTTTATTTATATATAAGACACAAGTGTGATTATAATTTTTGATATAACTTCAAAGTATTTAAATTTAAATACTAGTGGTGGGCATAACGGGATTTCAAAAATCTGAATTATTAGGATTTGTCAAATCCAGGTTTCAAGGATTATTCAACTCGATTCTGCTGTTCAATGATATCATAAAACWTAAGTATTAATTTATCATTAAATCTTTATTAAAATAAAACAAAATAATTTATTTTACCATACATTAAAATAATGATAAACCTAGTCACATAAAAAGCAAATCCATAAATCCGGATAATTCGGGAAATCCCGATAAGMATTTGATTCAAATATGGATTTGGACATCCAGATATTCAGATTTCATGCTAATCTCTAATTTATACTATATTTTTACAATACAATATAACATTATTTTGGAATAAAATTTAAATATACTAGAACTGTTTTAGTTGTTTTAGATTATGAGCGGAGCGAGGAATGTATTGATTTTATCATGTGTGTGTGTGTTTTTTTTTGTGTCTGTCATCACGTTTTGGGGCAGTAAAAGTGCTTCGATTTTTGACTTCAGTACCTCGTTYGATCAGAAAATGAATCTAGTTGGTACTTTGGGGGATCAAATTACAAATTTTTTTCTAAATAATCGGGATAAACAAACTAAAAMTTAAGGAAAAAACTGGAAATTTTACGCACAACCAGTTTTCGACAAAATCGATTTTGGTTTTTGGTGTAACTTTAAAACGAATGATCATAGATACATAAAATTTTCACCGAATGTTTATATAACTATATTCTATCCACAATGCAATTTTCAAAAATTTTCGACTTAAGTTGAACTATTTATAGTCATATGCAATTTTTGATCATTATTAGTTTTTTTTAAATTAATATCGATTAAAATTTATTTTTTGGGAAGRTAAGCTTTAAAATTTAATACAAGGTTTCTATCATATTGTTACAATAGCAATTGAAAAATAAAAAAAATTCATAGTCAAAATTTTTTTTTATAAGCATTCAAAGTTTGAATTTTGA